CATGGAATGAAGAATATCCTACTTGCATAGATCATGTAAGTAAGAATATCAATTGTTCAGGAATGAGCAAGTGTTTAATATAGATATATGTTTTATTTATTTATTTATTTTTTTATCAGAACGGATATGTACATTTATTGAATGGCATGAAGCTTTATGTTGAAAAATTTCCAAAACCCTACAATATCAATGTCAAGACTTTAATGAAAATATTGCGTAAATTGGAGAAGGTATGTTAATAACATATATTAATTTATTTACTTTCTAACAAATCAAAAAATGACTTGAAATTTTATCATAGAAAAAAAGTGGGATATTTGAATTTGATTCTAATAATGGCACTCAGCACATGGATGTGGACCTTGAAGGCAAGGAAAGTGAAAATTCAATTTTGCGAGAACTTTACGATAACCCATCAATTTCTCAATTTCAAGATGTTCATAGATTTTATGGTCCTCATCTTTAACTACCTATACATTCATTATGACATTACGATAGTTATTTGTAATCTGTCATTTCAAAGCTTTCTTAAATAGGATTGGTTTTAAAGAGATACACGAGTGCCTTATTTTAAAATGTACCATGTTCATGCGAGCATAGCTTTATCATATTGACTTTATCAGGTATTAGGCATTTCACTAGAGTGTTGTATATAATAAAAAAACATATAAATTTACTATAAACTTTGATCTGATGATTTTTAATTCACAATAGAAGGTGAATAACAGGGGGTTTTTATAATAAAATATAATATATCAAAACAGAAATTGATTTTTATAGTTATAAAAATTTTAATTTTACCGGTTTTCTTATTATTAGACTCACAAATACTAGCCTTACAACTTTAATATAAAAATATTAAATAAAATTAAAAAATTAATTGGTAGTCCGCAGTTAAAGGGAACAAATTTCATAGTAAAAGTCGGTGGGCATTTACTAATTATCTTATATAGTAAGTGGAATGCTATGTGCTTCAGTAAACGATTGAAAAATACTTATATCCCATGATATATTCAACCGATTTTGATGATTTTACCACCATTAGAATTAGAAAAATTAGCTTTGCAACCTTTATTATAATTTAAAAGAAAGTTTCTTAATAAAAAAAATACTTTTATATGTAAGCAAGTTTCATTTCTATATTATAAAAAAAATATATGAATTTTTGATTTTGTTTATCATAAAATTTATCAATTTTTGTGCTTTTTTTCAAAAATAATTTACTATTTAATTTATATGGTTTTTTTTAATTTTAAATGTGAGGCTATGCCTCTAATTTCTTTACAAGAAATACAGTATATATAGAAAAGAAATTATATTTAAATATTATATTTAGAGAATATTAAGACTAGAGACTCAAACACAATATTATATTAATTTTAATTTATATAGTTAAATTGCTAATTTTTATATTTTATAAATAACTACATATTGTCACTGGTGATTATTACCAGGTATAATATATATGAAATACTTTTATAGCACTATAGTATCATGGCACTATCTCATAAGTAATTATTAGATCGTATATGTAAATCGATTTGTTTAAAGTAAAAATTTGTTTTTTTTTAGTATTAGGGTAAGAATAGGATCTTGATGTTGGAGTTAAACAAAAACTAAAATAAAATTTTGCAAGGAATTTTTTTGTTAGAGCTTAAAAAATGGTTTTATAAACAATTTTGAGATATAATTGATTTTTAAAAAATTCTGTTTTTGTTATACAAAGCTGATTTACATATTATACTTGATCTTAAATTCTGATTGGCTATAATACTCTAATGCTGTGACACTATAGTGTTATAAAAATATTTCCCTAATATATAAATCAAAGTGATTTTTTAAACCAAAAATTTATTTTTTTTAATATTAAGGTAAGGGTGAAAATATAATATTGAGGTTATTAAAACAATGAAAAGAAAATAGAATCTGTCTAATTTTCAAAAAACTTATTTTTGATAATAATCTAATTAATATTAAACCTATTAGTCTACTTAAATATATTAAAAAACTTTATACCAAACTTCTTATCAACTGTTTTAACCAAATTTTTACCTAATATTAAAATTCTCTTCTTCTTTAACTACATTATACTTTCTGATAATTGCACTGCAATTCACTTTATATTTTTAACAATATCATTGAAGAAGCCTTATATAACTCTAAACAACTATGACTATATTTTAGAATATGAGTAAAGCATATAATTCAATCAATTTAGACCTTTTTCAAAAATCTCTAATATATATTAATATGTCTTCAAACTTATTCAAATTCTTATTAATTTATTACTATCTTATATTGACACAACAAAGTTATCATTAATTGGTTTTACTAGTTTCTATTCAGTTAAGAATAGTATTAACCAAATAAAACTATTATACTATTATTTTAAAGAATTTACTATAATCTACTTATTTATAAAATTGTTAAAAATTTACTAGTTATATACTCTTTACTTTTTAAAAAACTCAGCTTATTATCTAGATTCCTGGGTTTATAACGGCCAGACTCAATGTACAAAGCAGGCTACAAGTAATCTGGAAACCATGCGAGCCGGGTATACGGTAAGTGACCTTGTAAAAGACAATTATAACAAGTTACTATCAACATCATCTACCTTCTGTGACTTGCCAAATAATCAATTATCTAAATTTAACTTCATTCTTCATACTTGTTATAACAAATACCTATCTAGTTAGCTCCTACCTCCACTACCACATTCTTAAACTATAGAATCATTCTTTGCATATATTAATAAAATCAAACATACATCTAACAGATACTTATACAAGCTAATTATTTCTATTAAAAAAGATTATAATGAAGCATACATATATCTCTCTAATGAATTTAAACCACTTAAAGATCACATTATTCTACAAACAGACCAATACCTAAAATACTCACAAATACCACTAAGATCCTACTCTGAATATACTACACCTAATACAGTGCCAGTATCTTTATATCAATACTAGCACTTATATCTGAAGCTTTTACAACAGAAACAAATGATTTAAACCAAAACCCACAAGACTAACTACACAGTAACCCATCACAGTATCCTACAAACTTATCATTATATCTAAATATCGCTACACACAACGTTAAAGAATACAACAATCCAGAAAAATGACTTTTATGAAAAAATTACTATCTAATTAACAACCTACATGTAATTAGTTTAACAGAAACTAAAATTCCAGATACTACACCTACAAAATTTTACAACACTCAACACTATCAATACTACTAGTCAAATTCTTCAGGAACTAAAAAAGACATTTGTATTATGATACGAAACTATATTCAACCTCACATTTACAACATTCTCATTCACCCAGGTGATATAATTGCTATAGATCTATTCTTTAAACATAACTACAAATTTAGAATTATATTTGTCTATCTATCATCAACTAGCACAAATAACCGTAAACTAACACAAAACAAGGTTATACTGTGAATACAACAAGCTATAGCTTCTAATTTACAGCCTATAATCTTGAAATATTTTAATGCAAATAATGATCTTACAATATCTTTAGCTATCAAATTTCAACTTCTTAACTACCTACATAGTATAAATATGTACGACTTTGCAGACTACACAAATAACATACAAAACACTTGGCAAAGCATATGTTATCAAAGCAGAATTAACTATATATGGTCATGTGACACTATTATACCATACCTTCACAAGTTTGAAATTGATAACTCATCCTTCTCTACAGACAGTGATTACCAAATTCTAATTTCTAAATAGATTTTTCCATTCGCCCTATCTAAAACACAACACAAAAACAAATACAAAAGAAGAGTATTTAACTATAAGTTAATGAATAAAGAAAATTGGGAAACCTTTACTGACCAAATTAACTCCAATATAATTCAGCATCAGATCTCAACAACAACCAACACAACAGAAAGCTTAAAAAAAACTTGGCACAAAATTAATACATATATCATTACTGCTACACTTTAATATATCCCTAACAGAAAGTATTCTATAAAAAATCTGCACTATACATTTACTCTCAAAGCTACTCAGCTATACAAAGATCTCAAAACAATTAGACATATTATCTACCGTGTTAAAAAATACTTCTCAAACAATATTTCACTACCAAATAATATACATAGTTTAATAGACAATATAAATATTAAACATAACTTCTCCATCAATTTACCACCCTGTGATCAATCTGAGTTAGCAACATAGACACGAAATACCAAATCCTATTAAAAAACCTTATACAATGCCAGGAATCTGGAAAATGCTCAACAACTCTGTAAACATATTAACACTATTATTAACAATAGATGTGAACAACTAACCAACCAACTAACTAAAATGATTAATAATATACTTAATAGACATAAGGATACGGTAAAATTATATAACATTAAAACTAACACTGACATTATCACTAATCTCACAAAAATCAAACAATATATTAGCAACCATTTTAATGACTGGACATCTCATCACCTATACAATGAAGCTATATTTAATGAATATTGGCAAACAGAATATCAACCTAATTCTAATATTAATTCAAACTGGTATACACCTATACTTACTGAGATCAGCACTGAAGAAGTACTACAAACAATACAACAACTCCCAAATAATAAAGCATACGGCCCATCTGGTATTAGTTATGAAATGATCAAACATACTGGACCAAACATGTTATCAGCTCTTATAGTACTTCTCAACAGATGCATTCTCACACAAAATATTCCAAAATAGTGGGAAAACAGTAGAATCTATCCCATATCCAAAAAACCTCAATTCAATAATAACCTTAACAATACCTGTCCAATTAGTCTTATTGAATATACCAAAAAACTATATACTAAAATCCTCACCAACTGATTAACACAAGTTCTCACAACCTATTCTATACTTAACCTTCATAACTATGTTGCTTTTCCTAACAACTCAACTAATCATTTTATATATATTCTTAACAACTTCCTAGAAGATGCCAACTGTAGTAAGAAACAAATATGGATCTTGTCACAAGACATGAGTAAAGCCTACGACTCAGTAAACATAAACCTCCTCACTAGAGCACTACAGCGACTCAACATGCTGCCTCAACTCATAAACATTATCATAAACCTACTACATAACTGATCTAACCAAATAATCACTAATCTAGGCCTTACTCCTTCTTATACAGTACAAGATGGTATAGACCAAGGGGAGACTATAACACCTCTCTTATAGCGAATATACTATGACTTCTTAATCAATTGTATATTTAAAAAATACTTAGAATACTCTTTTACAGTCGAATGGCTTACTCAGCTCAACCCAAACAAATACCAATCTGAATCATCCTCAACACCTGTTCTAGCATATATAGATAATATACTATAGCTTGCAAAATCAGCAAGTTAACTTCAACAAATTGTCTAAACTGCATCCTCATTTTATACAATGGCCCATAT